TCTGCTCATGTAGTTTGGTTTTTTTTGCTATTAAATGCGTTGCGGCACGGGATGAGACAGTTCAGTACTTTCATCCTCCACGAAGCATTTGGTCCCAGTTCGTCAATTCTGAAGAGATCTGGTTGGTCCCGGAAGGAACCGATTCACAATATGAACACCGGACCGCGCGAAATAGGCGGTGCCACTTGCCGTTGCATCCCGGCCTTCTCGCAAATAAAAACCCATCATTCAGCTTTGATCAGCGAACGAAAGTCCAACACAGCACCCAAATAATTATGCAGAACCTCTCAGACTATCCTATCTGACTTTTTATTGGAGTAAAGCGCGCGGCGCATCCTACCGAGATGCTGAGGGGTAAAACTTCAGTTTATTCCTACATATGCTTACACGTTGTATCCTGATGAGTTCATAACGATGAATGGGTGGCAGAGAGTCTTATCAAGAAGAGACAGAGAAGAGTGTGAAGGTTGTCATTGTTTCCTAAGTTACATTGCACACGCCTCGTGTATGAGCAGTGCCTAGAATCTTCTGAATAATCCACCGCCGTCAGTGGCAGCACAGTGGGTTCTAGGTGAAGTTAACGTCCCACTTAACGTGCACTTTTCTTATCTAGCTATCCAGAGCAGTCTCGCATAAACATCCATTTCGATACAATACAAAGCGCTGGAGACGAGGAAAAGCTCATGCGCGTATTAGAATGACTTCACAGCGACAACTAGGTGGGAATTGCTTTGTGCTCCTTTGGCGAAGAATGCTCTGGTGATCAACCATTTCCTGCTTCGCTTCTACAGACCAGTAGCATGTGCGCGCATGAGAGAAGAGAGTGACGTTCAATAAACTCACATCAGCTCGTTGTTCACCACTAACTGGTTGAGTCCCACTATTGATCAGCACAGAAGAACTAACGGAGACGCTATGTCTCTGAGTGCCTCATAACCTGAGTGCGATGGTTAGTTGCCCAGAACCGGTATGGATCAACTTTGCTGCAGCTGCTTGGTGCCTCATAACCTTTTTTCGTGAGGAGATAGCTCCCTGTATGATTTTTTCCTTCTAAATATCCAAATGATCCAGAAAAAGTGGGAGAAACTGCAATTTATGCGTTTGGTGGTGGGTCATATGGCCAATTGTCTTTCACTTTCTTCTTGGAAGACCTCTCGTCAGATTTGCTATTCACTATTCTTAATACTCGTAGAGCTTAGTGTGCAATCTTTCGCTTTTATGGATAACGATTTCGCTAGCAACGTTTGGAAAACTGTCCCATGAGCTGCAGCTGTTTTTTTGGATACTACTCACGCTGCATGAGTAATGTGGGGAACCGTCGTAATGTGGGGAGTCGTCGTCCTCGATTACCATGGTTACGAGTTTTTTTTTCAATTCACCGAAATACACATTTCGCAGGAGTGAAAAGACACACGCGGGATGCCAAAAATGGTGCTAATGATAAGTATTCCGGAATTGAATGATGCCTTCAAGATGCGCCATGCAGTGGACTTTGACTCGGAGATGTACAGGGGGGGGGGGCAAAAAAAGACATTTCGACCGAGTCACATATCAGCAAAGTTTTCGCAGCCCAGACAGAGACGTGGATACGAGTACCAGGGCGGAAGATACCCAAGATGTTCCTCTATAAGCAGGAGCTGGCGCTCGCCCATCACCTTCATGTACACCAAAATATGAAGTCATCTCCAGCCGCAACCTGACTGGAGAGACCTTCGCATTTCAATGCACCTTCCCTTAACAGTCTGGGCGAAACTTCTATATGAGTCACCCATAAACAGCTACTGGAGAAGTAGATACTCTCCTGTTCTGGAAACCGTCCATCATCGAAAGCTGCGTCAACGTTCGCTACCGCTCTAAGGACATCATCTCCCATCGCAAGGCGCCAGCTGATGGTGGCGGAACCGGACGTACCTGGGATGGAAAACCTGAATTTTTCGTTGTAGACCCCGATGAAGGTGAGCGCTTGGCGGTCATAATTGGGCAATTTGTGAGGAATATCTTGCCTCACAGTGACGCCTTAATATGGTGCTAGAAATTCCGATAAAATTTAATAAGTGATAACTTATAGGCGCCTAAAAGTCGATGGGAAAGATAAGCTTTTTTTTGCCCCTCCCCCCCCGCTGGAGATATATGGAACAGGGCGAGCTCCTCGGAGCTGGTTGTTGGCAAAATGCGTGTTTATGATGAGAGCTTATACCAGAATATCCAGCATTATTCTGCACAAGTGGACAGTTAGACCGCAATTGCACGATATCGCTGGATTCACCGCTCCTTCGACCCGATTCCTTCAATAATTGCTACATTGCACAGGAAATATTGGGCCCCTCATAGTCGACTGCAATATGTTTGTGCAAGGTTTTGTTTGTGAGAACGCTTCCCGTGATCACGCGTTCAATAAATACCTTAGTAAACACACTTTAAAACGTGAAAGGAGCTTATACCCTCTTTTGTGCCACTTTAAGCAGTCGCAGCTCGGGCCCGTCTTTGAGAAAGCAACATAGAGCTATATTGACGAAGGCGTTCGATTTGCCGGACAAAATACGAGGCCATGGCAATGTCAGCGCTGTTTTTCATCTGACAAAGATCAGCGTCAGATATACTGGCGCAAACAATTACTGCTAATGCATGGAAAACTGCACGTGTTTTATGAATAGCAAGAATAATCCTACAGGGAGTCTAATAGCCAATCAAGTTGCACATTTGAAGCGAGGTGAAATGATGATGCATAATTGGTCGGAAAACGTTTAAAAAAGGTGTTATTGAGAACATTGGTCCAGGTAGTTGTTCAAAAGATTGCTAAGTGCGACAGGGTAGTTTCTCCAAGTTGCTTTCCTGATCATGTACCTTTTTTGACCCTAGTCTATTGTCTTCTCTTTTCGTGCAGTAAGAAGTAAATAAGGCAAGTAATTTAAAGGCATATTTTGCCACTGAAAGTTGTAACTGGAGGTGTTCAAGTACGAATTTGCAAGTGCCGAGCGACTCTGATGTGAAGAGAAATTAAGGTGGAGTCGCTGAGCGCCTTCAATACAATCCCACTGGTTGCAACTGATTAGTGATTGAACAAAAAAACGAGAGTTTGAAATGGCCGGCCAGAGACGAAGTGTGAAAGAGCGGGAAAATAATCGAGACGACAGACACCAGCATGTTCTGCAAAAGCACACGACCATAGAGGATAAAGCCTTGCCGCTGATCAGTCCCTTTTTGAGATGCGACATGCATTCTACTTCCACATAGAATCGTAGCAGCATGCGATGTGGCCTATTTCATGACTTGTCGGTGAGAGCCAATGTACAAGTCAACTTCTTATCCTCCCAGACAAAACTGGAACCAATCTATCGTCCCTGCAGGGTAGGAGCCTTGGTTGGTCTGGGCAAAGGGCGCGCCTGTGATGAACGTGCCACTTGCCGGTGCACCACCTCCGTCTAAACGATAAACGATCGTAATACGGTATACGATCATAATAAAATAAAATTAACAGGATCGTAGCATTTTGTGGTCAGAGAAAATCGATCATTCAACAAATGTACACCTTTTTTAAGCATACTACCCATGGGAACAATAAAGGTGACTTTCGTGGTCGATGTATATTCCCCTACACCGGTAAATAGACAGCTCAGAAAAGCGCTTTATGGCCAGAAAGACCACCCCTTGGTATAAATGGTCCCACATTTCCGCACCTGGGAGCGAACTCTAATGCCCTCATGCATGGAGAGTCTGGAACAGTACCGTGGCCATTTCTGATGAATCATGCGCATACTTCTACTGCAGCTTTGTCCAGGCGGAGCTGGTAGTTCGGTGTGACAGCTTTCGATTACATTTTTTTACATTTTATAGCTGAGAACAGCGGAGCTAATCTGCCATCCTTTCGCAAAGACTCGATTTCCAGCGCGATCCCTGTGCTAAATATTGGAAAGAGTAAACCAACGAGTTGGATCATTCAGAGGCCAAAAAGCACGCTCGGCGAACTATGCTCTATTGCTCTGACCACGCCCACCGTTTATTTTCGCAGCAAAGATCTCGACCATTTTTGCGGCGGTATATAAACATCAGCGCGCCACAATAACCCTCATTCGTCTACGACCATGCAAGAGCCCGCTTCTGAACCAAAAACTATTACACTAACGCTGTTCATGAACCGTCCACCACGAATCAATGTCACCTACAAAGACAAACACGACTTATTCAAGACTTTCAAGAACAAAGCACAGGAGCTCGGCATCTCATCCGGTACTATATTCTGGATCGACGAGAATGGCGCACCTGTGCGAATGAACAGCGCCGATCTTCTCATGGATGCAGCCCTCGAATCGCCAATGGTGCCTTTGTACGTCTACGATATGGGTGATGAAGTTTCGTGTTCCTGTTATGATAACCTTACTGCGTGCCAGCGAAAGCTGAAAGGAGGTATGAGGCATCAACCTCGTAAATACTCCTCTTCTAGAAGCTGCCGCGGATGTCGATCCCATTCAAGAGATCATTCCAGTAGCGGGAGCCACTCTCATGGCCACCGTAGACACCATTCGGGAGGTCAGTCCAGAAGCCGTGACCAATCCTATGAATGTCATCACCACCATCATCATCATTCCGGAGGTCGATCCAGAAGCCGCAGTCATTCCCATGGATGCCATCCTCATCATCATCATCATCATCGTCATCATTCCGGAGGACGCTCCAGAAGCCGCAGTCATTCCCATGGATGCCATCCTCATCATCATCATCATCATCGTCATCATTCCGGAGGACGCTCCAGAAGCCGTGGCCACTCTCATGGCCACCGTAGACACCATTCGGGAGGTCGATCCAGAAGCCGTAGACCGTTCTCGTGGATGTCATCACCATCATCATCATCATTCCGGGGGTCGATCCAGAAGCCGTAGTCACTCTCATGGATGTCATCACCATCATCATCATCGTCCCGGAGGACGCTCCAGAAGCCGTGGCCACTCCCATGGACGCCGTCGACATCATTCTGGATGCCGTCCCAGAAGTCGTAGTCATTCCCCTAGACGTCATCGACAACACTCGGGAAGTTGCTCCAGAAGCCCCATACACTCTCACGGGCGTCGTCGGCCACATTCAGGAGGTCGCTCAAGAAGTCGTGGTCATTCTCATGGCAGACATGGTCATTCGGGGTGCCATCCCAGACGCCGCAGCCATTCTCATGGGCGATCTAGATCTCGTAGCCATTCCCATGGACGTCATCGTCACCACTCCGGGGGACGCTCTAGAAGCCGAAGTCCTTCCCATGGGGGCCACCACTCTAGAAGTCGCAGCCCTCCCCATAGACGTCATCGCCATCATTCACGAAGCCGCTCTCGGAGCCCTGGACATTCCCCAGGGCGCCGCTTGTCCTCACTCAAGAAGCCGATCCAGAAGTCTCAGCCCTTCTCATGGACATCATCGTCATCATTCAAGAAGCCGCTCCAGAGTCCTGAACATTCTCCTGGCCGCCATCGTCGCCATTCAAGAAGCCGCTCTAGGAGTCCTGGACATTCTCCAGGGCGCCGTTGCCCTCATTCAAGAAGCCACTCCAGAAGTCGCAGCCCTTCTCACAGACGTGATCGGCACCATTCAAGAAGCCGCTCTAGAAGTCCTGGACACTCTCCTGGGCGTCATCATCACCGTTCAAGAAGCCGCTCTGGAAGCCCTGACCATTCTTCTGGAGGGCATCACCAGCATTCTAAGGATGCATCGAGAAACCGTACGTCCTCTTGTGGGCGTCATGGAAGTTATTCGGGAGAACGCTGTCAAAGCTGTGACCGCTCTCGTCGATGCCACCATCGCAATATGGGCCAGTACCTTAGAACGAGTGGTCATTGTCGTGGACGCTATGGATTTCACGCAAATCACCACACCTTCACCAGATATGGTCCTTTTCATTAATCTCTCTGTTTCCCCTTGATGACTTCACCCTTCTTCCATGGTCCACCATACGGCGCCGGTCGCTGAGTTCCACACTGATTGCTTTACTCATTTCTCTTCATACTAATTGCGTTCATGTGCTTTTCATCAACCTTATTTTGAACACGTACTGGTTGCCCCTCCCCCTATGGTTCTGTAAAATATGCATAGCAATTCAATAAAAATTAGCCAAAATGGTGTTATGTTATGTACTTGAAAAGGAGTAACATGTCAGATATAGATGTTCTGAAAGTTCTTAGAACTCACCGGTCGCACACAAACTTGACTCCAATGGCGCTCAACAGCAAGATGACTGTACTGGATGTAATGGTTGCAAACTCTGCATCAGTGAGAAACAAGTTTATATTCAGAGCGGTGAAACACTACAGTGTTACAATGCAATAAGTAAGGAACTGAAGATCGTTAACGATGCCTGCCTCAGAAGTGAGCTTGCAGAGGCGGACTTCTTGCGAATCAGTGTCCTTTCACGAAAAAGAAGAGCAAACAGCTGCCTAGCAACTGATCCAGAAACAAAAAGCATGCGCAAATGCAATACCAGAGGGTGACTTCCTCGGGATCAGCTTCGCCGATGAGGGGGGGGGCATTTCGCACATTGCTGTTGGCCCATCGACAGCGCCGACCCACTTAGACTCAGCTTTTCATGCGCTCACTAATTGTGGCGTTTCACCATGTTTCCCTTCGATGAGTTGTCAGGTTTACCAGTATGCACAAAAGATTCACCCAGAATAAGACTTGTTAAACGGAGTGCTGATACAGCCTACCAATGTAAAATGCCCTTCCCACCGTCGCCAAACTGCACCCTTCTTGACACTTAGCCTTAGCGAATAGGTTGCCTAGGAACATGGTGCAGGCTTAGAGATCCACGTTGTGGCGGGTGCTACCCGCAATTGAGTGCAACTAGTATTTCCTTGCTGGTTCACCCGCCAGGGTATATGGCTCTCTGCGAATGTCACTTAGTTCCGGGCGCGAATTGAAGCATAGTTGCAGGTCATTGCAAAGCTGCTTTCGGCGCGTCATGCGGGAGTATGTTGATTCGCCCATCCTCATCTTCACCTACTTTGAGTGTGCCACATTGGAAAAATTTGCTGAACCGACGCTGACTATTCTTGCTTTAATTTTCATACTTTTTTAATCTCCATTAAGCGACAGATGCGCATTATCCTTTCAATTTTTCTTCTACCATGAAATAGTATATTCTGTTGCTCAGACACTCATATTGAAAATCCCCAGTAATTTTACTTGGAAGACGCTCGCCGATACACCCATCGAAAATGCAGAAAACTGTCTATACGAAGGTAGTGTGGTCCGCAGTGAGCAATCGTGTGCCAGTTTGGTGCCGAGTGTTGTAAGGTGTAGGAGTTATGCTGCGAAATCGTTCCAGTGGTACCTCCCTTTTCCAGGACCCCGCCTCCGGATTCCGTCCTTCAGGAGAGTGTGTGAAACGGATGCTAGCGGACGAGAGCACGAACGATGGATGATCATTGTCTCGTTGGCCCGTCACACGGCGTTCATTACAACGATCCGTAACTCGGAACATCACCCGAACAATGCGGCAGATCCTTGGCGTTTGACACGCGGCGATTTTGTAGGCTGGATGTCTATACTTAGTGTTCTTGGCCGTTCCTGTTTGGCATTTTCTCACCATCATGGCCATGAGTCGATCGGCAACTTCCCTTCCACATTTCGCCGCCAACATCTACGCTCCTTTTCGTAGACCGTGCCGTTAAACATTCGAGAACTTTTGCAGCAGTCCAGTAATTTACTAGTAATGGTGTTTGGGTCCCACGTATTCGTCCGACGAGAACAATGCCAGTTCGGTGAAGCAGATTCAACGTTTTATCTCAACGTCACAATCAATTATCTGACAATGAGAGCTTGATCATTGGGGATGAAAAACTAGTTCTCTCTAATAACCCAAGAAGAAGAGGCAGTAGTTCTTCACGAATGAGTCGCCAGTAGGTGAAGCAAAGGTCAGATTTACACTTCAAAAACGTTCCTTCCTTTTATGGATGAAGCAGTCGCAGGTCGTTCACTTCAAATTGTCGGAACCTGGGCAAACTGTGAAGTCAGACCTTGACTGTAATTAAGTGAATTGAGTACATCAATCTTTGGTTGAAAAACGGTCAGCGGTTATCAGCAGAAAATGCGCTATTTTGCAGCAGGACAGTGCGAGATTACATTCAGCTGATCGAAGTAAGTAAATTGGCCTCCACATACCATGCCGATCTCTCCCGTATCATCGTTTATCACTATCCTATGGCAATATCTAAGTGGCAAACATGGAACAAGACCCATTACTATCCAACATTTCATATCCAGCTGTTTTGCAGAAAAATCTGTTGATTTTCGACGATGAAATATTGAAAATCTGTGACGTATACGGCAAAAGTATATGCGACATTTTTCCACCAATTGTGGAAACTTGTAGGCGATCACAATTGATGGAAAACTGGTTGACGCCGCGCCAAACCCAGTTCCCCACCACTCTGATACGCCCCATCGTCCGCAGCAGGAGCAGTACTGCAACAGTTAAGATGAAGCAATCACACCACCTCTGGTGGAGAAGTAATAAGCTCTTAGAAGCACCCTCCACGATTTCGCACGTAAAGGGGTATGAAAGTGCTCAACAATGCAGCATTGAGGAGAAATCAGATCAGAATAAACTGCCAAAGGCGCCCTATGCACAACCCCCCTTGCTGGGGGGTTGTGCATCGCCTGCTAAGGCAGAAGACGAAGGGCACACTCGGCTCGCGAAAGGGAAACATGCGGCGAAACAGTGAGGGAGTGAATTCCCAAACAACTCGGTAGAAGTGGGCACTGCCACATAGCGGTTGTGAACCTGAATGGGAAGGGAAGAGGACGGCATCTGGTATAGAGCCCGACAATCGTGACAAACCTCTGGCATTCTCGCGAAGAATCTTCGGGCAGCTGAAATCGTTTATACTCTGCGACTGCAAGCCGCCTCACCTTGTAGAAGGAAGAGGTTCAACGCATCAGGCAATTAATTGCGAGCTGTGCTTTGGGCGGCTCAGTTTGCATGAACAATACTAGCTCAATGGAGGCAGCGTAGTGTGGGAGACGGGCAAGAGAATCGTAATTTGCCGCTCCGCCAATTTGCCACGCGGCGATAGGCGCGGCGTTTTCTTTGTTAGCCTGTCGACTGTAGCACCCGATTGAACTGTAGGCATTTATGACTATTTTGATTCTACATTGCCTGTTGTCGCCATATACGACCTGGAACAGTCGTGTTTGCGAGCACGACGTCGCACGCGATGCCCACCAGCGCGGTGAATCACGATTCTCTTGTCACGTACCCGCGTAGTGTGCATTAAAAGTGATACCGCGTGTAGTTTCGTTGCTGTTTTCGAAGCTACTGGAAGGGTTGAAAAGTCACGGTTGACAAAATAACAATTTACTCAGCACGCGGTGGGGGCGAGTGGCTAGTGTGCGGCGTGCCTTGTGCGGTTTGGCAGAAGTCGTTCTGCACCAGTTTTTGAAGCGGACAAGTGCATTACTGTATTGTATCCTTCGTATTACTCGTTTTCTACCACTTTTTGTCGCATACGTGTCTCACAAAAAGGCTAAAGAACCGGCTTCACGTGGGCGCGCACGGTCTTCTGGCGACACGTCCCACCGGTCCCGCAATGATGAGGACCTGTATGTATGCTCATGTATTCTTCAGCCAAAATATGTCTTTACTATGGTAAAGGCCAAGCGTCGAGCTCTTGTGGAACTGATACTTTATTTACATTTATTGACTTGATTTGCAGATCGTCTGAGCTATCCAAATGGACGACTCGAGAATCTTGCTCGTCTGGTGAATATGTGCATGCAAACACCAGAAAGTCTTGATCTTCAAACCAGGCATATGATTCTCCGGATCGAAGAGTGAGTGGCTGAGTTCACTTCGCGATTCTAGGAATCCTCCGTTCCAATTCCTTCAATTCCAATTTTTTCGAAACAAAACTGCTAATTGTGTAGACAGCCTCATGTGATACTCTTCGCTAAGTCCGCGATACAGCTAGGTTAGCCACAATTCAAGGCACTGGATAGAAAAACTGGCTTTTCCAAACTTCTCCTAACCAGTTCCTGTAAGATGCAAAACGCCCTTTATATTTTCCTTGAAAGTGAGGGACGACTCAAAGTAAGTACATCGCTCCTTTGTTGCCAAGTCTTACTTTGTTTACTATGGCTTTGAGAATGCATGTTGAGGATGCCGACACTATTCCCATGACGTATAACCTCGTCATCCGGGCAGTGATTAAAGGGCGGGTCGTCAACGGACAAGCAGCGGGCAGTGCCAGGAACTATTTTGCTTGTTTCCAGGCTAATTTAGTCATTTTTTTCCACCTTGTGAAGATAAGGAGCTGCTAATCTGGGAAAAAGTAGCCAAAACAGTGAAAAGTTGGAAAAATGACTAAATTAGCCTGGAAAAAGCAAATAGTTCCTGGCACGCGCTGCGGCCCGTTGACGACCGCCCTAATCAACTGCCCGGATGACGAGGGTACATCCAACGCTAACACCTGGCATTTTACTTTTAAGAACAGCGTTCAGGTACTTCGCGACGGTGGCAGTTCGGTCGCGCGTTCGACGCAGTCGAAAGGATGTCATCGATCCGCGCGACGTAGCGCAGCCGTCGCGAGGCCTGAATGCTGCCTAACAGTGATTCAATCAACACACAAAAACTCGAAAATTGACGTCATAGTGGTGGAGAAGACGTAAATGAAATCGCTATCAGAGATAGGGCGGAAGTAATCATTAAGGACCATGAAGAGATAGTTTCCCCCACTTCAAAGCGAGAACTCGGGAGGTACGTTTGTTCGTAGCATCCGCGCCACAGAATTTCGGATCTCCTGACCCACATTATACACTTCCTCCTTCACGATGATATCTTGCCCACAACTGTACAGTGCTCTGACAATGAGAGATTCTTCAATGTTACTCATAAAAATTCGCTTCAGATGGCTCGGTAACTCCCAACGCCACAATCAGCACTTCCTCTCATCATTATTTCTACGACCTGCTGCACGAAACAGAGTTATTCGATGTGCCCACAATCCAGCCTACGTGGGACACGAAATCGAGGGCTGTTTGAGGTTGGTTGCATGGCTTCATTTCGTTCTTCATAACAACGGAAGATCCGTGCTGAAGAAACATCCCTAAGAATTTTGCAATTCCACCATAGTTTGCAAAAACAACCAGAGAGAGTAGATGGGGTTTGCGACCCCATCTTCTAGTTAAGTTTGCGATGACCTTCAAGGCATGGTGCACGATTATTTAAGAGAAGGGGTCGTTCCTCGCATGAGGTGCTCGCGAACACGGTCGACTAGAATGTGCTTTCCTGCCACACGAAAGGGCTCGTGTGAGTGGGTGCAGAGGCGCCCTCTGTCTTAGCGCCCTTCCTATCGCAAGGATTAGCTCACTGAACGGGGTGGTTTTGTCACAGCTATGACGCCAAAGAGGTTGTCACAGCCAAAGAGGCAAAGACGCGCACCCTCAGCCCTCGAAAAACTTTGTTGAGGAGTCCTTGTCGTAGAACAATCTGGAATGTTACTTTAGTACTTCAGGAATCTCTCTGGCAGTGTGCGTAGCGTGGCCTCGTCGGTGGATCTTGACGAGAAAGTACGTTACGGTAACTTGTGTCGAGTAGAGATGATCACCTATGACAAGTATAACACATTCGTGATGAACCCGCTTTTCGACAGCGGTCTAGTGCTAACGGATGACGAGGTACGCAGTTTGCAGTTCAGACCTGGAAGAAGGGCCAGTCTGCTGCTATTGAGGAGCCACGGCGGCTCGGTGAAATGGTCCCTCTCCTGATTCCTAGGAGGGTGCAAGAGGTCGGAATTCGTGTGCATCACCCTTCCAAGGGATCGGAAAGCGGGTTTCACTACGCCCTCACGCGGCCCCTTCCACAGCAGACTACAGCAGGCCCTTCAGATGCAGTTATTGTGTAAATGGAGTAATATCGCGTGGCAGGGTACAGCATCATGATGTGTGAGGTGGTGGTGTATTTAGGTGGGGGGGGGTGTACTGATACCCTCTCTCGGAGCATCCCCCCTTCCGAGAGGGGGTATC